CCAGTTTAATCTTAAGTCCCCTTCAAGTCCTATTTCCCCAAATATTAATCAAGTAGGTGAGGTTTCTAAGCTACGAGCCTCAGGTCTTAACATTACAACTGGTTCTTTACCTCCATCTGTTCGTATCGCACTTGGAACTGTGGCTACTGCTCTTGAAGTGGTTAACAACATTTTTTCATCTGAGAATATTGAAGAAGAGGATAAAAATGGCCTTCAAGATCGTATAGCTGAACTGGTCAAAGAAATTACTCTTGAAAAAGAAGAGATTGAAAAAGTCCATGAACACATTAAAGCTTAATGTTTACGTCAGAGTCCAGTTGTAGTCCCAGTAGAAAAAACAGTTGTAGTAAAATGAAATCGAAAGATCGTCTGAAGGAATTTATTTTTCAAACATGATTTTTTTTTTTAGTTAGGATTTCATTAAAACTGAATGATTTCTTGCCTTCAGGACTACGAGATCTTCGCCATATAAAAAGCCAATTGGTTTTTCGGAGGAGGAGGGAATCCTAAAATAAACCCAACACTCCCACCCACGTTATTCCGCACTATATGAACGTGTTTCGTTTTGTAATTTCAACTAATGTTTGGTACATTAAATAATATCTTAATTCTGTATGACATTGTTATTCTGTAAGAAAAAAGTAGATATTAGATAAAATGTTAAAATTAGAACAGTCGACCTACAATTATACTTAAATTGTATTTCAAGTCAGAAGATCCATGTAGGCTAATTACTGTTAAAATAAAGTTCAGTTTACAATGGCTTATTGTTTATTACACTTGATTTGCTGTATCGTTTCCTAAGTTAGCACTGTTATTTGCCATGTTTGACAACCGTAAGTTAGATTGTACTAGAACTAACCAGCTAAGCTGCCATTGGCTGACAACTGACATATATTATAGCAATGAATTAACACCAAGATTAACTGACTCAGCCTTTCCTCGGTCTTTGCTATATGGGTCAGTATCAAAATAAAATGTACTAAACGGATGTTATTAATTCAATTAATTTGTTTTACAGATATAAGTAATCTGAATAATGTACATTAAAAATATTTTTTTTTGTTGGGAAATTGTAGAAAGAACATGAACTTTTAACAAATGATATTTAATTAATTGGTCCAACACTTTCACCATGTTTTCATATTGAAAGATTAGAGATCACGACAAAAACAAGTCCAAGTCCAGTTCCATAGTTTTTATGCCGAACTGATAACCTCACTAAACTTTGATCCTTTTCTTTTATAACTGAACCTTTTGTCGCTTATGCAATTTATTATACATTAATTTTCTCAGATATGATCTAAATATGACATTTTCAATAACAGTAATCCCTCTGGTGAGCTAAGAAGTAGATTAAAAAAGTATTTTAATTTAATATTTAAAAATGTCTATAAAAATAAATTTTCAAAACTTCATTGGAACAATACTATTTTTCAGTATTTTATGCTTAAGTGTAATAATCACAAGAGTTTCAAAGAGTTTTTTTATATCTTAAGATCTTACGCAGTTAAAAATAACAGAGGAATATGAAGAAAATACAAATTTTCTTGTGAGCTAAAACTCAAATATAATATTTTCATAGCATAGGTGTGTTAGTACAACGTTTAACTGATTGCGTTCTCCAAAACTAGAATGAAAAATCTGTTTTCTTGAGTCAATATATCTATACTAAGAACATAATATATCTAGAAAGTTATATTTTTGTCTGTTAAAATTGAAAAAGAAACCAAAACTGATGAGCATGCTTAATATTATAAAGTCTAAACATATAAATTCAATTATGTATCAGGGATGAGCCACCTGTACATTTTTTATGGTAGCGCGTTCTTCAGGACGTCGACAAAATCCAGCCAAAGGGACAGAGACGAAAAGCCCTTTATTAAATAAGTACAAAACTGCCTCTGAAGTTCGGCTAATCATCCTTGACATCTAGAAAGCGGGGCCAAAACATCGATTTTCTTCTTCTTCTCCGTCAGCTGTAACTCCTAAACCACTGTGTGCCTACTACAAGCTTGCACACCAAAACATTTCACTATTCCACAGGATGTGCCTTTTTATAGCTAAAGCCCCCAAGTGATCCACGATAAGCTAGTTACAGTCCAAAATATGTGCAATGATAATGATTGTTTAATATTGTTCAATACGCATATCAATCAATAGATGGCGCGATGCTAATCTTATCAGTTTATTCTTTATTTGTAATTAAACACAAAGCTACACAAGGGGCTATCTGTGCTCTGCCAACCACGGGTATCGAAACCCGGATTCTAGTGTTGTAAATCCGCAGACACTGGGGGGCAATCTTATCAGACTCGACGTGTTTTGAAACATGTAAGTTGTATGTTTATATTAAACATTTACCGTTAAAAAAGTTCTGCTCGTGTTGAAACTTATATTTCATCGACTTCTTGATAGTTCAACTTATAAACAAACGAACACCAAGCACGAGAAGGTCTTTTTATTGAATCTGTCAGCACACAAATTCTGTTTGTGTGAAAAATATTACATCATAGGTTTCATTCTATTGTCCTCATTTTTATAAACACCCGTCACTTAAGGTGTAATGTTGACCGAGTCACTTGAGATCTTATGTTTATGAACGTTTAACTAGTACTGTCAATCTTTATAGTGTCTTAGTCTTATCATTGTGGGTCTAAAAAGTCCTTGAGTTTCAAAGTACATTTCTCATGCTCATAATCCGAGTACAGAGAGATAAGAAACAATTTTTGTTGATACGATAAAAATATTATATTTAAATGGAAAATAAACAAAAATTTCTCAGAAAATACCAGTTGTAAGAAAAACTGTAAAGTAAAAACTAACTATGATATGAAACCAAAGAATTAACTTGGAATGAATTAATAAAATACAGAAAACTTTTAATTTGATAAAAACGTTTATACTCTCGCGATATTAAACCGTAGTGTTATTGTTATTATGACAGACTGTATGAAGTGTATAATATTTCATGTAATTAAACATTAATCATGGAGCGCGGTAGCGACCCCTATGTAGGGATGGGTCCAGTTAAACATGGCGGCTTGTACATTACGTGTGGTAGCGCGTATGTCAGGACCAAATCCCAGCCAAAGCGACAGAGACAAAAAGCCCTTCACTAATCAAGTATAAAACTGTTCGGCTAACTTTTCTTGACGTCTAGTTTATTCTTCTTCTCCGTCAGAAGTAATTCGTACACCACAGTGTAAGTACGACCAACCTGCACACCAAAACACCTCTCTAATCGCTAGGATGTGCCTTTTCATACCCAGAACCCCAAGTGATCTAAGATAGGTTAGTTACAGCCCAAAGTACTAATCGCGGTCTCTGATCAGTAAGCCATTATGGAAGTAGATAATCCACCGTATACTCCTTAACGCGCCGCACAGTATCCTGGTCATGACTTATCTACTTCAAGAAGTAATGTCTATAGCTAATATTACGTCTCCCTATAGAATAGAACTGAATAAGTTGGTGAAATGGTACTTTCCAGCTAGGAGTTACAGCCAAGACTTCGACTCGTAAAAAAGTGCAAAAACTAGAGAGTATTCGGTATGGGAGAAAAAATCTGCATTACCAGTTCCTGCATTACACCATCTAACGTATATATACGTCCACCCTGTGTATGAACGATGGAATGCAGGAATGGATAATGCAGATTTCTCTCTCATCCCAAATTCTCTCTAGTTTCTGATCATTTTCCATCCCTACATCCCATCAATTTTAGAATATAAATTGTTGTTGCTAGTAAGTATATGTAAGTCTAAACATATATAATTTAAACCTATATGTATGCCGTACACACAAAAGAGTTAAGATTACGTTTTTTTTAAGAACTTTCCTTCGTGAAAGCTTATTAGTCAGAAATAGTACAGAAACTAGTAATTAAAATTTTCTAGCTACGTTCAGCCTGTTTTGTCACTAAGGCAAAGAAAGGTTCGAGACATTTCACCATGAATTACTTAAAAAGGTTTATTTTACCATGTAGAATTCTGTATAACATTTATGTTTACATTTATATGGTGTAAAGCGTTAAAGTAAAAACTTATAAACGCGGAGTTTAGTATCCTAATTCACATGAATATTTGTAAACATTTAAGCCAGAGGGCGCCATCAACAGAAGAGCTGTCGTCAACTAATAACTACAAATTCAGATTAGACAAGGTTATATCTAAACGTTTTTTGTATTATTCACACTTACATACACAATCGTATATATATATATATGTGTGTGTGTGTGTGTATATATATATATTCTAAGCACCACCATGGTTGAATTAATATTTATTCCTATTTTTATTCTGGTTTGTCGTTGGCAGAAGATTTACAACTTCATGACATCTCTTTAGCCAACCTAACTGAAAGAATGACATATAATACCTGAGATACATATAATCTATAACAATGTTGAAGTACATCTATCTAATTAACAGTAAAAATATTCTAAAAAAATGGACAATAACTAATGATTATACATCATGTAAAAACAATAAACAATTAAAACTTGTAAGTAATAGAATATTCTTTAAGAATGAAGAATAAAACCCACGAGTTATTTAGATTTTCTTGAAAGCCCTTCCAATTTGTACTGTTGATCAGTATTCTGCAAATTGCGAGTCTTAGCAGATATATCCTGTTACTATTGGCCAGTGTTTTGTAAACTGTGATTTCGACTGAAGGTATTCGGAAATCTCGAAAGTTAGCTGACAATTGGGTAGTTGTAGAAGTCTCCACTGCAAAAGATGAGGTTAAAAAAGCCCATGAACACAGTAAAGCTTAATGTTTGCTTGAGAGCCTAGTTGTAGTCCTAATAGAAAAAAGAAAGATGCAGCAAAGTGAAATTGAAAGATCGTCTAAAATAATATATTTTTCAAACATGAATTATTTTTTTTAGTTATTACGGCTCCATCAATCCTACATAATAGGATAAGCATAGCTTGATTTTAGGAAGGGCTGCTGCTATCTTAGAAAAATGAGTGAATTCTTGCTGTCAGGATTACAAGATTTACAACGCTAAACTTAAAAGAGAATCGGTGACGTAGAGGTCTAATGTATTCCTTGATTGGCTGTACCCTCTGCTGTGGACTGCAGTTTCGTCTATTCAAGGCTCATCAGCACAGCTTGAGTCAGCAAACCAAAGGGCTACGATTGGGGCTATTATAATGGTGAAGTGTTTATAGTATCTAAGGGGGTTTTAGTTCCTTTTTACTTCACCATACTGTAACTTGAATTAATTTACGTATGTCAACAATGTTATGACATTATCGCCTAATTCAAGATTCGACCAACTGTTTGGTGATTATATATATATATATACATATATATGTATATGTTATAGGTTTCTTTTATTTTTCACTAACGGGGAAATTGAAAAGAGAATCTGTGAGATAGAGGTTTAGTGCATTTCTAAATTAATTTAGGTTACTGTATGGTGAATTAAAAGGACTCAAAATCCATATATATTGTTTGATACAGCTTTCGGGATAAAACAATGCACGTATCATGAGAAGCATAAAAACCGCGACTGTTATCTCAACAATAAGATTTACATAGTTTTTTCTGCTGTGATTCGCTTGTTTTCTTACCTTACGTTCGTTAAAACCAATCATCGTTAGTGACGACATCTTTAAACTTCCTGGTTCGTTCTAATCACACTTAATGTTAAGCTACAAGTAGTTACAACCATCCACTCTCTCTAAGTATTGTTACACAGGGGAAACTTAGCTGAACATGGCTGATCTTACCTCTCGGATGATAACACTTTCAGTGTCACGTTCCACTAGCAAAGCTCATCAGGTATTTAGTTTTCTATCAGTATTAAAAGTACTCAATATAGGACCCAACTTGCACGTTATGTGAGTGTCAGTATAATTTATAATTCATTTCATGAAAGGATAGGGCTAATTATTTCAAATTATGTTATTAAACAGTTACTAAGAAATAGTAATATTAATTACTTCAATTAATATAAGGAATAATTTAATGACTTTTGATTTATTTGTAATTAATTTTGTTTAAATAAATAATACTTTACAGTTTTTGTTGCTTGTTTAACTTATATGTTTCATGGTCAACATTAAAAAGTAAGAACTTCTGACGAGTTTATAGCGATTGGATATCAAGTATGGCAGCTTATAATATCACTTAAGCCTTATCATTTGCAAATATTTTTATTAATATTTTTAGATAATAATATGTTTATATCTTTCGTTTCGGCGGCCATTTTCAGGGAAAACCCCGAGGAAGTTTAATGGTTGGTTGTTTTTTAGAGCAAAGTCACATTGGACATGCTGCCGTGGCCACTACTGTTAATCCGACTCCGGATTTAAGCGTTGTAAGTCCGTAAACGTACCATGATTCAACAAGGGGACTCATGAAAAGCACTGTTGGTATGATAGTAAAGACCAGGTTTCGACTCTGGGTCATCTGGCCGTCTCTCCATTAAAGTTTCGGTCAACTAACATATTTACATGTTTTCAAGAGAGTATCCAGGTTTTGATCACTGTCTGTTCTTGTTTGACCTTATTTTAATTTTGTTTTTCTCGCGTGTGGTTCGTATCTTATTATTTTAGTTTTATTCTATTTTATTATATGTGAAATATTTTCATTTTACGCTATTATACTCTGTGGAAGTTTTTGGGTTAAAAGTACCACTAAATACAAATCCATCTAACCAAACATATGTTTTACATTTTTAACAATTCTTGGTACTTGTGTATGGAAACTGAAACAAACAACATCTAGATACTCCTTCAGAACTTTTCTTTCAAATACTCTTCAGCAGTTATTATTTTCATTGTAATTTTTTTTAATATAACAGTTATATTATTATTTACAGTTTACAGACCTACATCCCTAAAATGCGGGGTCTGATTCCCCGCGGTGAACACGGCAGATAGCCCAATGTGGTTTTGCTATAAAATAAAGAAACCATTCTCATGTTCAACAACTGTTTACGATTAGGTCGACGAAATTGACGATACTCTGAAAGAACGTTTACTAAGTACTATCCTAAATCATATACAGGGTGTAAGGAAAGCGACAATCGCATTGTTGTAGCCTGTATTTGTATTCTAGGTCATTCTAGAAATTTCTATTGTTGTTTAGCCTGAAGTAGGTTAGATGTAACACTATGGGCGTGGGCTTAACGTCTGAAGCCTTTTGGGAACTTGAGTGATATACACTAAAAAATGAGCTGGACTCTATAAGTTGAGTTATTTAGTCTGATAGAGTGGGTTACTGAGTGATTGAGTTTGTTATTCGATTAT